AGGAAGGAAGGAAGGAAGGAAGGAAGGAAGGAAGGAAGGAAGGAAGGAAGGAAGGAAGGAAGGAAGGAAGGAAGGGATCAGAAAATGGAAAGAGCAAGCACGCGCAGGAGCCTGTAAGCTGCCCCGCAGCGAGCAGAAGCCGCGCGCGCCATCTGCTGGTGGCGCTGCCACGTTGCGCTCTGTTCCTGACTTCGCCCTTGACCGGCTGGCGTGAAGCTACCGGGCGGGGAGGAGACACGCGGGGCTTCTTCATCGTGGTGAGGCCACGCCCTTCTACGAACCCGCTCTCGCTGCAGAAACGCCTTCACCGCAGATCAGAATCTGAGGGCCATTTTTCTTTCTCCAGCACCGGGGATGGGCCCCGGGGCCTTCGCACTGCGCTACAGCCCCCGCCCTTTCTTTATGCATTTTGAGACACGGTCTTGCTAAATTACTAAGCTACCCAGGTTGGGCTTCAGCTCTGCGAGCCTCCTGCCTCAGCCTCCTGAATCCTGCGGTGCCACGAGTACATCCCCGCTCTCTCTGGGAATCTGATCAGCCGCGTAGGGGGCGTTCCGAGGGTCCAGGCGCCATCGCCTTGGCGCTGGTCGCGTCCTTTATTCCCGTTGCTGTGGGACTGTCGCGGGTCGGGCCACCTTCCCAAGCTCGGCGTCTGCCCCTCCCTCCGGCAGGGATCGCCTTGTGCCCGGGTTGGCGCGGCCACCAGGGGGCGCTACCTCTCTGCTCCAGGGGCTGCCGCCCGGGTCTCGCGCGCTCCGCAGCACCGAGCTCCAGTTCTGCGGCTGCGAGAGGCAGCCCGCGGCGCGGGCGGTGAGCGTGTAGGAGAAGGTGTGCAGCCCGTGCACCTCGCGCAGCACGAACTCGGCCTCCACCAGCTCCGCGAACTCGTCCCCGTGCCACCTGCGGGAGGGGACAGACCTTCACATTCATTACTACCCAAGTTATTGACTGGCTTTCCCGTCGTAGGCTGTGGACTCTAAAGGGTGTCTGGTGCCGACTTAGAATGGGTACCTCATAAACGTTTGCTGAATGACTATTTGAACGGCAGCCCAATATATCCCCTGTTCCTTGTGTGCTACCATTCGGTGACAGCGGCACAGGGGAGCTCGCAACTTTCTGGTCTGGGATCTGCCTCTGTTTTCAAGCCTCTCTAATGAACTCCTACTTGTCCTTCAGAACCCATCAACCATCCACATCGATCTAGACATCGCAGCCGGGAAATGGGGATGGAAGAGAAGAGAATGGAGGGAGGCAGCAGGGTTCATCCCAGGGGGCAAAAAAAGTGCCTTCCCAAACGCCTGTGACCAGCCCTCAGGCGCCTCCTGTGGCTGTGCGCAGACAGCAGAGCTAGGTGTGAAGGCCCTGCCTGCGAGCTCCCAGTGAGTCTGAGGCCAGCCTGGGCTGCAGGGTGAGAGCCTGGCTCTAAATAAATAAATAAATCTCAAGCCTGGGCCCTTGGGCTGAGGTAGGGGAAGGAAAGGGTGCTCGGTCCAGCCCAGGGCGAAGCGTCTCACAGCTCGATCACTGGCTTCCAGGGTGTCTCGTAGAAGACGAGGCCGGGGCAGCCCAGGTCCCAGAAAGGGTAGAGCACCTGCAGGTCCTTGGTGGCCGCCAGCCCGTCTGGGCCCGGGTCCAGCGATCCCCTGGGAGAAGGAGCAGAGTGCGGTGGGCGGCCCTCGGGCCTGCCCCCACCCCCACCGCGGCCTCTGTGTGCTGCAAGGGAGGCGCGTTGGCTGCCAGAGCCTCCCGCGTTAATAGTTCTATAAGTGTTTTCTTTTCTTTTTCTTTTCTTTTTTTTTTTTTTGTTGTTGTTCTGTTTTGAGAAAGGATCTCACTGTGTAGCCCAGGCTGGCCTCAAACTCCCAGCTTCAGCTTCCGAGTGTTGGCACTACAAGCGCGCCACCATGCCAGGCCCACATTTTCCTTGCCTTCCTTCTGCTCCTCTTTTCTGACTCCCTCTCCTCTCCCTTTCTTGTCTTTTTTCCATGCTGGGGATGGCATCCGGCGCCCATGCTCCACAGGCAAGCACTCCCCACCATGCTGCACCATAATCCCTGTCTGCTACAGAGTGAGATTAACACTTTCATGCAAATAGCTGGGCACGGTGGTGCATGCCTATGATCCTAGCACTCAGGAGGCTGAGGCAGGGGGATCCCTGTGAGTTCCAGACCAGCCTGGGCTACCAAGTGAGCTCAAGGCCAGCCTGAGCTGCATAGTGAGACCCTGTCTGAACAAGAACAACCTGCTCCCAGCAAAGGACGCTGAGCCGGGTCCATCAGCTGAGCCTGAGTGGCCCAGCGGAGGCGCGGCTGCAGCCAGGGCCCCACACCACAGCGTGCCCTGCGGGCCACGAGCCTGGGGGTCTGGCAGGCTGGGGAGATGCGGGAAGGATCCCTGGGCCTCACCCCGTGTACGGGCCCCTGCAGGGGGTGGCAGGGCTGGGGGTGGGGTCGCCTTGCTCACCGTTCCACTACATAGGTGTAGTTGTCCTGCAGCACTGCAGGGTCGAGGACTCCCAAGGAGCAGGCAGAGATCTTGCTGCAAGCCAGAGAGGAAGGTGAGATGCGGCCTCACCCTGGAGGACGGGACTGGAAGACGGCCCTTGCCAGGGACACAGCAAGAGGGATGTGGCCAGACCCCAGCCCTGGCTGTGGAGGGCCAGGAAGGAAACAGCCGAGAGAGCTTGCTCTTCAGAGCACCTTATTATTATTATTGATTTCTTCTTATTCTTATTGTTATTATTATAGATATAATAATAAGATACATATGACATGTGTGGTATCTCATGTGTGTTACCCCAGCATACTGGGAGGCTGAGGCAGGAGGATCACAAGCTCAAGCCCAACCTGGACAACTTAGGGAGTTAGTGAGATGCTGTCTCAACTGGGGTGTAACTCAGTGCTGAGGGCTACCCTGGGTTCTATCCAACCCCCTGCCATGCAAATCGTGTTTAACTACAAAAATCCCTGTTTTTTCAAGGACGATTCTTAACCATCTTAACCATTTTCAGTGCCAGGCTCAGTGGCATTGAGCTAGGCGCCACTCTGCCGTCCACCTCCAGGACCCCCACCTTCTGCGAGGCTCTGTTACCAGGAAATGTTGGCTCCCATCCCCTCCACAGCATGGCACTGCCATCCTGTTTTCTGTCTCTGTGAGTCTGATGATGCCAGGCAAAAAGGCCCACCCCCACTGGAGCAGTATCAGAGATTCATCCATTTTCATGGCTGCATCATACTCCACACTGTATGGATGGACTGCACCGTGTGCATCCATTCCTCCCTTGCCACTCCCCAGGGCTGCTTCCACCTCTCTGCCTGGGTGGAGGGTTCTGTTGTGGACACAGGTGTGATGAAAGTGTTCTGCTTTCCATGGTTTTAGGTATAGACCTACAAACAGTATTGCTACCTCATTCCTTTCTTCTCTTTTCTGTTCTGGTGTGAAGACCTCCAGGCCTCTTTCCTGTAGTAGGTTTTACATTCACCCCAATGGTGCACAAGGGTTCTAATTCCTCCAACTCATTATTTTCAATGTTCTATTTATTTATTTTTTTGTTTTGTTTTGTTTTTTGTTTTTGTATTTTAGAGAAAGGTCTACAGGGTGCTCAGGGTCTCCATACTAGATCAGACTCGTAGTGATCCCCTTGTTTACAGCCTCCCAAGAGCTGGGATTACAGGCGTGCGCTACCACGCCCAATCTCCACTGCCATCTCAGCGTGCCCTGGGGAGGGACTGGCATGCCAGGCCCAGGGTTCTAACCCCTGGTTCCTGTGCATTTTTATTTTATTGAGGCAGAGTCTGGTTACAAAGCCGAGGCTAGAGCTGGGGAGATGGCTCAGTGGAATAAGCGCTTCCCTGGCAAGCTCAAGGGCCTGAGTTCAATTCCCAGTTCTGCAAAAAAAAAAAAAAAAAAAAAAAAAAACCAAAGCCGAGGCTGGCCTCACATGCCTGCAGCTGACCCTCCTGCCTCAGCCTGTGGGTGCTGGGACTATGCACACGCCCTGGCTGCCTGACTCCCCTCCCCCGTTTACTTAACAGTAGCATCCTCATGGGTTCGAGGCCCTCTGCATCTCCCTTGTGGTTAGTGGCCTCCCTGTGCTCCTTGGTCATATGTAATCTTTAGGGAGCTGTCTCCTCAAGTCTTCACACCACATGCCCAGCCCCCTCCCCTGTTGGCACTGGGGATTGAATCCAGGGAGGGGTTCTGCGTCTAGTCCCAGCCCTTATTAAGCTGCCCGGGCTGGGTGTGAACTTGTGACCCTCCTGCCTCCCTGTGTTGAGTAGTTGGGGTAAGACATGATTTAGATTCATCCCATGGGCTGGGGAGACAGCTCAGTGGCATAAGCGCCAGCCTGGCAAGTGCAAGGTCCTGAGTTCAATATTTGCAAAACATTTGCAAAAGCAGTACAGAAAGTTCCCATGTGCCCCACGCACAGGTCTCCAAGGGAAACATGTTTGATAGATCGGCTTCAACTAAGGAACCATGCTGTTGCTAACTAGAGTTCTGGGGTTTTCCCCTAAGGTCCTCCTTCTTCCCAAAAACTCCATCCAGGACCCCATTTGGCACAAAGTTGCCATATCTCCATGGGCCCCTCTCACGGGGACACAGTTCTTGTCCTTTCCTCATGGTTTGTGGGGGTTGGGGATTGGTCACATGTCTCATGTTTTTCCATTTTTGAGACAGGTACTGGGCTAGAGCTTGTGGCCAGGCCTGAGGCTTCCTGCCTCAGCCTCCCGAGTGCTGGGATGGCAGGCTTGGACAACTATAGGCCTGGGTGAACTTTTATTTTGGGAAATCTTTTTTTGTTTGTTTTTTGTCTTTCTGAGACAGGGTCTCACTATGCAGCTCAGGCTGGCCTTAGGCTCACTTTGTAGCCCAGGCTGACCTCAAACTCGAAACGATCCTCCTCAACCTCCCAAGTGCTGGGATTACAGGCATGTGCCACTGGGCGCAGCTTATTTTGGGAAATGTTAAACACACTTCAAGGTAGGCAGAACGATCTAGCATCAGCCCCCACTCCGGCAGCCATGAGCCTGTGGCTACTGCCACCCCAGCCCACCCCATGCCTCGCCCACCCCGAAGTCCACGCACTCACTTCTGCACAATGATCTTCTTCTCCCGATCACAGCCAACTGAAATGAGTGCTGTCTGCAGGGACAGACAGGGTCCAGGCTAGCAGAGGCCCCCAGCAGTCGGGTACACTGGGGACTCGCAGAGGGACAGAGTCATATGGGAAGGGCTTGTGACCCCGTGTGTGGCCTGGGTTCTGACCAAGTGACTTGGGCACCAGGATGCGCTGGGACCACTGCGGGCCCTGAGCCTCGGCAGCACGCCAAGCACATACACTTGGCTGTGCAGCCGTCACCACTGGCCACTTCCAAACATGCTCCTCCTCCAACTGAGCCTGGGTCCCCAGGAAACACTGACTCCCATTCCTGCCCCCCTAATTTCTTTTTTTCTTTTTCTTTCTTTCTTTCTTTTTTTTTTTGCTTCTGAACCGGGGATTGAACTCAGGCCCTTGAGCTTGCCAGGGAAGTGATTATTCTACTGAGCCATCTCCCCAGTCCTCTGTCCCCTAATTTCTGAGGTTTCCCCAGTCCGGGGCATTTCCTGTGCATGGACTCCCCAGCTGTGTGTGTGCTCTGTCTGGCATCTCTCACTGAGCACAGCATCTCCAATATTCATCCCCACTGTTGTGAGTTCCAGAGCCCACTCCTTTTCATGGGTGTGTAATTTTCCAACATGTGGAGAGACTGCATTGTCTATTCCTATTGCTCTATCCATGGTACATAGGTTACTTCTGCCATTGGCCACCATGAAGGACAGAGCCACAAACATGAGTGTGCATGTTACCAGGCTGGGGTGTTGTCTCCCACTGTCACGACGGCTCCTCTCAGGCAGTGCTTGCCCTGGGTTGCCAGGCACAGTTCGGAGGTTTACCAGTAAGGAGAAACACTGAGGCGAAGGTCAGAAGTGGCGAGGGGCAGTTCCAAGGGGCAAGGATGGGGCCCAGTGACCCCGCAATCAAGACAGGATCCGCACTTTTAGATCCTGAACAGGAGCTCTGTTGGCTCCTTAGGTCCTGCTCCTGTGACCAACCTGTTACCCGAGACACAGAATGTGTGACAGAAGCAGCTTCGGGGCCTACCAGTGGCTTCAGGTCCACACAGGAGATCTCCTTGTTGGCTACGTCCACAGTCAGGGTGGATATGGTGGGTCTCTGGATGCTGCGCAGAATTGGAGTCTGCATTAGTGCTGAGCATTCTCACAGGGAACACAGCACAGAGTTCTCCACCCCCACCCCCTCATCCATCTGCCCATTCATCCAAACATCCACCCACCCCCAGACACCTATCCATCCACATCCACTCACTCATCTACCCATCCATCTATGCACATACCCTCCCACCCACCCATCCACCCACCTTTGCACAGAGCTATACACCCAGCCCTGATTTTTCATTTTGAGTCAGTCCTAGGAAGCTGTTAGGTAGAGCCACCTGGGCTGAGATCACCTGCCTCAGGCTCCCCGAGTGCGTGCATGAGGGACGAAGCCCGCCACAGCTGGCTCCCATCAGCTATTCATCAGTGTTTGCCGCAAGGTCATTAAGTGCACCACAGCTGAGCAGCCGCCACCACCGGCCCCTCCAAAGCTTTCTGCTTCCCAAACTGAAACTCTGCCCTCCCCAGCGAGGGCAACAGCCTCCTTCCTGTGTCTGTGGAGCTGAACCCCCAGTGCTGCCCTCCATGTCCGGCTTGGTCCCCGAGGGCAGTGTCCTCGAGGCTCACCACACCGAGGCAGGTGTTGGCGCCACCTTCCCTCTGTGGCTGAGCGATGTTGCACTGTCTGACAGACCACGCCAGGTGTCCAGGTGTCCACCCTGGAGCACGTGGTCACTTCCTTCCTTTGCTGCCGTGAACACGGCGCACAGATCTCTTCGAGACCCTCCTAGCAATTCTTTGGCGTGGACACCTGCGAGTGGGTTGCTGGGACCCACGTGTGATGATTCTATGTCTAAGGTGGGTTTTGTGAACCAGGAGTGGCACCCAGGACCTCGCGCTTGCCAGGCAGGTGCCGTGTGGCTGAGCTGCACCCCTGGCCCTATGTCATTTTTTGATGGCCCCAGTGGCCCAGTGTTTTAGTGCTCTGGAGCTGGGGCTCCATCTCAGCCCTGCTTCCTTCAGTCTAACGCAGGGAACGCCCTCCCCGTCTGGGCAGCCACACACCTGGAGGTGAAGTTGGGGTCGAACCAGCCCAAGTGGTGCTGCTGCTTCAGCTTGATGTCCTGTGGAGCCAAGCGGTGGAGAGAGGCCGGGTGAGGTGCTGGCCGCTGTCACCCAGCACTGGGACAGAGGCTGAGGCAGGAGCATCAGCAGGAGTTCAAGCCCAGCCTGGGCTGCGCAGTGAGTTCAAGGCCAGCCTGGGCAATACAGCAAGACCCAAGGCAGAAAAAGGCAGGGTGCGCGGAGAGACCCCCTCCAGCAGGGCTCTGCCTGGTGTTTCCGAAATCAGGATGGGCACTGAGATGGCGCGTTGGACGGACAAGGCTGAAGGGAGCCGGCATGCCATCTTGCCTCCCTCTCCTCCCTGTCTTCCTTCCCCTCTTCTTTTTACTTTCTAGCAATCCTCCTGCTTCAACTTCCCAAGTGGTGGGATAAGAGGTGTGCACAGCCACACATGGTGTATTCCTTCTTCTTCCTTTTTTCTTTTTTTGAATCTTTTTATTTGGTACAGGGTCTCTCTATGCAGTTCAGACTCATAGTGATCCTCCTGTCTCAGCCTCCCCAGCACTGAGATTACGGGTATGTGCGACCACTCCAGCTTTGGTGGCCAGCATGGCATGGGCTGGCATGGCATGTGGTGCAGGGGATCGAACCTGGTTCCTTGTGCTTGCCAGGCAGGTGCTTAAACCCACCGACCTAGACCTATCTCCCCAACCCTCCTTCCTCTTCCATCTCCACTCTGTGTGTGTGTGTGTGTGTGTGTGTGTGTGTGTGTGTGTGTGTAGTACAGGGTCTACAGGGTCTCACTACACAGATCAGACTTGCAGCGATCCTTCCTGTTTTTCAGCCTCCCAAGCACTGGGAGTACAGGTGCACTCCACCACACCCAGTCTCAGTCGCCATCTCAACATGCCCCTGGGGCGGGGGGGTGGGGGGGGGCAGCTCAGCATGCTAGGGATCGAACTGCTGGCCCTGCATCTGCCTAAGCAGGTGCTTTAATCCACTGAGCTATATGGCCGGCCCTCCACTTCTTATTTATTTATTTGTCTTTTTTCTTGGTTTTTTTGACACAGGGCCTCTCTATGCAGCTCAGGCTGGGCCTGAGGGTTTTCTTTTTTTCTTTTTTCTTTTTTTTTTTTTTTCCATAACTGGGGATTGAACTCAGGACCTTGTATTTGCCAGGCAAGTACTTATTCTACTGAGCTATCTTCCCAGCCCCTCTGAACTCTTTTTGTAGCCCAGTCTGTTCTCTAACTTACAACAGTCCTCCTGCATCCGGGTGCACCACAGGCCTGCACACCACACCCAGCCTCAACTCCGCCTCTCAGGAGAAGATTGTGGAAACTCCAAGCCCATGGAGCCAAGCAGAAGGCTTCCAGGCCCTTACCACGTGGATCCCAGGGCTGCCGGAGAGGCATGACTGTCTCTGCTCTTCTCTAGCAACCATGTGACAAAGGGCAGGCCAAATCTGTGGCAGCTGATGCCTACTTCCTCAGCCTCTAGTCTACATCCAACTCCGCAGTGTGACACAGGGGCCCCCAGGCTTACATGTGGCCACTCCCCTCGTGGCCCCTCCCTTGATGCAGCCACTCCAGGTCTCACAACTGCCTGGGTGGGTCAGACCTGTCTCTCCCAAGTGTCACTTTAAGACCAAATCTGTCCTGTGCTGGTGACGGCTGCTTGCCTATCCGTCCCACCCCCACCTCACGTCTCCTCCAATTCCTCAGCTCTTTGCCACCTTCCTGTGGGCAACAGAGGGGAGAGGGAAGCCAGTGCCCCCCACTGGGAGGTGCCCACAGGTGACCACGCCCCCACCTGAGCTGCTGCTAAGTTTGGGGCCCAGCTCACCAGCTTGTACAGGACATTGCCTTCGAAGGTGTTGTCGTACTCGTGGATGGTGGTCTTCAGCCCCAGGGAGTAGGGGTTGCTCACCATCACCTGGGGGCAGGGGAGGACAGACACCTGTCTCAGGGCTACCAGGCTCAGAGGCAGGACAGACACTCACAGGGAGCCTGGCCACCTGCAGATGGAACGCTGAGCTCACTGCAGGTGTCGCTGACCACAGCCTCACGCTCCCCCCACCATGCTGCTGCAAAGCCCCGCCCTGCAGACGGCCTGGGGCTGCAGGGAGTCCCTAGCCAGTCCTATAGAAGACATTGGGCAGAGATACGGGGGCAGGGGGACAGCCAGAGGCACCTGGCCTGGCCCACTCAGCCCTGGTGCCTGGGCCGGGCCCAGGAGGGGTCAAGGATGTGGCACTTCAGGACACCTCGCACGGTGCGCATTCATTTCAGGCTGGTGTCACATGGGCCTCTGGCACTGCGGAGTCTTCAGGGCCATTTCTTTACACATGCAACACAGCCACCAAGATGCACTTGGGCCGGGCGTGGTGGAGCACGCCTGTCATCCCAGCACTCTGGAGGCTGAGGCAGGAGGATCATTTGAGTTCAAGACCAGCCTGGGCTACACAGGGAGTTCAAGGCCAGCTCGAACTCCATAGTGAGTTCAAACAAAACAAAAACACTCACTTAGGGCTGGATATGTGCCTCAGTGGGACAGCACTTGCCTGGAACACAGAGGTCCTCAGTTCACATCCAGCACCAAGAAAATTATAAGGTTTTTTTAAAACCAGGTACAGTGTAGCACACACCTCCTCAGGGGGCTGAAGCAGCAGAATCATTTGAGCCCAAGTTTTGAGGACAGTCTGGCAAACAGCAAGGTCTTGTGTGTCCCTCCCTCCTTCCCTCACTCCCTCCCTCCCTCCCTCTTTTTCTTCCTTTCTTTCTTTGGCTTTTTAAGACAGGGTCTCACTCTGTGCATGGTAGCCTGGAACTTGCTATATCCCCCAGGCTGGCCTCAAACTTTCAGTGATCCTTGTGCCTCAAACTCAACCTCCCAGCGCCAGCCAGATAGCTCAGCAGACTAAAGCACCTACTTCTGCAGAGCACAGAGGCTGGCCAGGGTTCGATCCCCGGTGTGCTGTGCTGACCCTGTCCCCAGGATGCGCTGAGATAGCGATTGAGACTGGGCATGATGGTGTGTGCCTGTAATCCCAGCGCCTGGGCAGCTGAAAACAGGAGGATCACTACGAGTTCCGATCTATGTAGTGAAACCCTGTAGACCCTGTGCTAAATTCATAAAAAACCAACCAAACAAAAAACTTTCAACCTCCCAAGTGCTGAGATCCGAGGCAGGTGCCACGTGCCAGCTTCTTCTGCCTCTTAAAAAAAGATGCCCCGGGGATAGGCTGAAGATGTGGCTGCCAGCCCCCAGGGGCGTCGGAGACTCACGTGCCTGGGGAACTAGGGACGTGCCCTGCTGGGGAATCAGAGTGGCTGTCATCTCCAGCTCGCTGTTCATGTCCATGGTGTACATTTTCCCTTCGAAGAATCCATCCATCAGTTCTATCTAGTTACAAAGACAGACAAATCAATGGCAAATGAAAGCCCCTGCTCCCAGAAGGAGAGGACAAGGAGAAAGGCAGAAGAATTGAGCAGGTATGTCTCAAAAGCTACGGATGGCCCACGAATGGGAGACACGTACAGGAAGCGATCTGGGAATCTCAGCGCAGAAACTTCTGGTCTTCTGGGTGCAGCCTCTTGCACTTCTGGGCACATTCCTATCATTACTGCTGTGGCCCCTCCAGGGCGCCCCCACCGCACCCCCATCCTTGTCAGTCACCACGTCCTTGTATTTTTCTTTATTTTCCTTATTTTCTGGGATGAGGTAGAGGAGATAGAAGCCAGGAGCACTCTACCACTGAGCTTTGTCTCAAGCCCATTTTATTTCATTCTATTTTATTCTATCTTATCTTTTTGAGCCAGGGTCTCACTATGCAGCTCAGATGCAGCTCACTATGCAGTGTCTCACTTGAGCACATTTTATAGCCCAGGCTGGTCTCAAACTCGCAACAATCTTCCTGACTCAGCCTCCCAAGTTCTGGGATTACAGGCATGCTCCACCACACCTGGCTTAGTTTGTTTTTCAGCTTGGACGACTTAGACAGACCCTGTCTCAAAAAATAAAGATGGCTGGGGGTCCAGCTCAGTGGTGAGCCCTTGCTTCCAATGCACAAGGCCTAGGTTCCGTCCCCAGGTCTGGAAAAAAAAAAAGCCATTGGATATTTATCCATTTATTCCCATGACATACTCTGCACTTTGCAACATGGAGTTCTGGTTTCATGAGAGTCGCCTGAATGTTCACCACACACTTCTGGAAGTCGTACGCAGGAGATGAGGCATCAGGGAGCGGGGTCAGGACCTGAAGCTTTCCTGAGTTCAGAAACATCAGGGCTGCCTCCTGGGACCAGATTTTTTGGTCTGGAAACTGAGAGGAAGAGGGCTTCAGAGACCCAATCACCCCAACTCGTGTGATAGTTTGAATTTTAGGCTATGACTCAGAGCTAAAGAAGGGCTGGGGCCAGGGAGATGGCTCAATGGAATAAGCACTTCTCTGGCAAGCGCAAGGGCCTGAGTTCAATCCCTGGTTCCACAAGAAGAAGGAGAAGGAGAAGGAGAAAAAGAAGAAAAGAAAGAAAGAGAAAAAAGAAAGAAATCTCTCCCTGGAAAACAGAAGCCACCGCTGCGTCACAGAGGTTCTCTTCTATCCAGGCATGGCGGCGCATGCCTATCATCCCAGCACTGGGGAGGCTGAGGCAGGGCGCTACCGTGAGTTTGAGGCCAGCATGGACTACATGTGGAAACCCTGTCTCAAAGAAACTAAAAACAATACAAAAGGATGACACTCATGTTTGTGCCTCAGCTTATTCGGTTCTGCTGTGAGAAGCTTCCAGAAGGTAAAGTGATTCAGCAGGAAGCAGGAAATGCATGTAGGTTGGAGGGGCGCAGACCTGGGGGCCTAGTGCTGCTCAGTCACTAGTGACTTTTACGGCCTTAGAGAGAGAGAGAGAGAGAGAGAGAGAGAGAGAGTGAGAGAGAGGCATAAGGGGTAACTCCAGGAACACCACCTATGACTTCTGTGACCCTGCACAAATGACTTAGCCTCTCTGTGCCTTAGTTTTTGCATCTGTCAAATGAGCACATTCTGAGATTCTGCTGACAACAATCTTTGAGGGCATCATGTTAAGGGAAATCTGCCAGGCACAAAAAGACGAGTAGGGCTGCTCTCGGTTACACTTGGAAGCTCAAGTTGATCCTCAAGAAGCAAAGAGGAGCCAGGCAGTAATCAGACTGGCAAGGGCACAGGAGATGGAAGATGGAGAGGCGCATGTGGTAAAGGAACGCCGCGCAGCTAGATAAAGGGAGACTGATTTCTTTTCCTTTTGTGAAACTGGACATTGTACCCAAGGCCTGGGCATGAGCTACATTGCCAGTACATTTTTATCTTGAGATAGGGACTTGCTACGTCACTGAGTTGCCCAGGTTGGGCTTCCATTTGTGATTGTCCTGCTTCAGTCTCCCAGAGTGCTTGGCTGACAGGCATGTGCCACCTTGCCAGCAGGAGGAACAGTTCCAATGCGGTACAACATTTGCTTAGTTAGGATGAGGCCCTGGTTCAACCCTCAGCACTCCAGAAATTAATCAGTAAGCAAGAGGGTTTTTTTTTTTTTTCAAAAAGTGGTTTTTTTCTTTTGTAAAAAAAAAATTTTATTTATTTACATATGTATTTGGTACAGGATCTCACTGTGCAGCCCAGACTCCTAATGATCCTCTTGTCTCAGCCTCCCCAGCACTGGGATTACAGGTACACATCACCAAGCCTGATTTTGGTGACTGGCACTGCATGCCCTGGGTTCTAGGGCTGGCTCTGCATGTGGTATTGGGGATCAAACTCAGGACCTTGCACTTGCCAGGCAGGTGCTTAGACAACTGAGCTGTCTCCCCAGCCAACAAGAATGTTTTTAAAACATATGTAATAGGGGCTGCTGATACAGCTCAGCAAGTACAAGGTCCTGAGTTCAATTGTTCAATTCCTGGTACCAATAAATAAATAAAGTAATAAAGCAATGAATTAATTAATTAAAGTAAACATACGTAAGAGGCTGGGCTTGATGGTGCACACCTATAATCCTAGTACTCAGGAGGCTGAGGCAGAAGGATCGCTACAAGTTAAAGGCCATATTATACCACATAGTGAGTTCAAGGCCAGCCTGGACTACATAATGAGACCCTGTCTCAAATTAAAAAAAAAAAAAAAAAAAAAAGAATTGAAACATACACAAACACCAAGTGCAGCAGTACACACCTGTAATCCCAGTACTTGGGTGACTGAGGTAGGAGGATCACTCAGAGTTTGAGGGTAGCCTGGAATACATAGTGAATTCAAGGCCAGCCTGAACCACATACTAAGACCCCAACTACCACCAGAGAGAGAGACAGAGAGAGAGAGAGAGAGAGAGAGAGAGAGAGAGGCATACACTAGAGAAAACTACACAGAGATAAAACATAACCAGCAAACTTTGTTCAATGACATGCAGTGGTTGCAAGAGTTATTTTAATCAGGGCTGTGTGTGTGGTCAGGGTGGGTGCTTGCCTTGCAGGCAGGGGGCCCTGGGTTCCAGCCCATATACATGGGCATCTAGACCCACGTGTGCTGTTTTGCAGTTGCTCAAAGAGTCCCAGCTGCCGTTGTCTTCATTATTTTACTAATTAGAGTGACCTCTAGCTCTGAGATGGAGGATAAGGAGTTTTGAAAAAGTACTTTTTCTTACTTGCTGGGCAGTAAGCACACTTTGGCAGTCACCTACTTTGAGGATGTAACTGGAGCCAGACAGGACTCCCAGACTCCCATAGTACACATGGTCCTCCCGAGTCAGCGCCGCTAGCCCGTTTTCATCTAGGGAAGACAAGCAAAGCCAGATATGACAGTTGGTGTCACGAGCCCAAAGAAATTGTTCTGAAGGGCTTCGCACTGGGTAATGTTAGGCTGAAGGGGCAGAGGTGCCCGCTGCCCGGGGGCTGTATATTTTGAGTTTCTGAATTATGAATTGCAGCCTGATTTAGCACATAAGCCACAATCTAATGTAGGACTCTCTCTCTCTCTCTCTCTCTCTCTCTCTCTCTCTCTCTCTCTCTCTCTCTCTCTCTCTGTCGGTTTTGGTTTTTCTTTTGGTTTTGAGGCAGTCAGTGTCTCACGATGCAATTCAGGCTGGCCTCGAGCTCACTTTGTAGCCCAGGCTGGTCTCAAACTCAGAACAATCCTCCAGCCTCAGCCTCCTGAATGCTAGGATTACAGGGGTGTTCCACCACACCCAGGCTGTAGATAACCGAGCCTTAGCCATTCAGGCTCTGTGGAGCTTCAACCAATCACACGCATCTGAGGTGCAACCAATTAGAAGCAACAAAATAACCAGTTTTGTCCAAAGGAGGTAACTCCTGGGTCTGTATAAACAATCAGTGTTTTCTGGATTACTTCTGATTGAGGCTATAAAAGCACACTGTTGAGGACCCAGGGAGGTTCCTGGTCCTCCTGCTTCAGCCTCCCAGAGTACTGGCATTGCCTACTTGCACGTGCTTCACCTCCCCCCCCCCCCAGAACCGGGGATTTAACTCAGACCCTTGTAGTTGCCAGGGAAGCACTTGTTCTACTAAGCTATCTCCCCAGCCCTACAGGGAGGTTCCTATAGCTGTTGCTACCAAAAGCCACAACACTCCACAGCACAAACAGCCTGGCAATTCTTTTAGGGAAATACTCAGGACTGGGATTAATGGATTGTATGAGAGTTTCATGTTTAAATTTTTTGAGGAAATGCCACACTTTTTTTTTTCCCCTAGAGGCTGAATCATTTTATTTTCCCACCAGCAATGCAAAATTGCAACTTCCCCACATGCTGGGTCTCGGGATTTTCTTCTTGGATCATAGGGATTCGAATGGGTGCGAGGTGCTGTCTCATGGATTTTGTTCTCTTTTTCCTGCCATGCTGGGGATAGAACTCAGCTTCCCACAAGACAGACAGGCGAGTACTCTCCCTTTGAGCTACGTCCATAACTCTTTTTAGTTGTTTAATTTTATTTTTTTTATTTTTTTATTTTTTTTCAGAACTGGGGATTGAACTCAGACCCCTTGCACTTGCCAAGGAAGCGCTTATTCCACTGAGCTATCTCCCTGGCCCCTAGTTGTTTAATTTTAAAGCAGAGTCTTGCTAAGCAGCCCAGGTTAGCCTCAGACTTGCAGTCTGCCTACTCAGCCTCCCAGTAAGCCCCGATGACTGCTGTGTGCCACCATGCTTGGGTTGCTTAGGTTCCGATTTGCATATCATGACTCTTGCATTCACGGCGGCATTTACAAAACCTGAGATGTGGAAATAACCTAAATGTTTGTTGATGACTGTGTGGATGAGGAAAATGTGGTCCACCCAGACAAGGGAGTACTAGTCTGCCTTTGAAAGGATAAAATCCTCCCATATATAACAAAAAGGGGGCTGGGGAGATAGCTTGGCAGTCTAAGCACCTGCCTGGCAAGCGCAAGGACCTATGTTCGATCCACAGTACTGGTACGGGTACCACATGCCATACTGGCCCTGAAACCAGGAGTGCTGGTGCATGTCAATAACCCCAGCACTGGGGAGGCTGTGACAGGAGGATCACTATGGGTCTGAGCTGCGTAGCAAGACCCTGTACCAAATAAAGAAACAAAAATGATGAGCCTTGAGAGTGCTGCACTGGGTAAAACAAGTCATAGCAGGGCACACACTGCATGATATCACTCATACATGGAATGGAAAATAGTCAAAGAAGCGAGGAGTGGTGATGCACACCTGTAATCCTAGCACTCGGGAGGCCGAGGCAGGAGGACCACATTCCAAAGCCAATCTGGGCAACAGCAAGTTCTTGTCTCAAAATAAAAATTAAATAAAGTGCCTGCCTAGGACATATAAGACTCTGGGTTCACGTTCCAGTACCACCCAAATGACAGATAGGTAGATGGATGGGAATAGAATGAAATATCTAGATCCTTTGTTGATTAAATTAGGCTTGAAAGATACACACAAAATTCATTCCATTACTTTTTTTTTTTTTTTTTCCAGCTCAGCCCACCCTGAGGGCAGGGCTGGCACGGCATGTGGTGCCGGGGACCAAACCACAGTCCCCTGCACCTGCCTAAGCTTGCCTAAGCAGGAGCTTTAGACCACCGAGCTATTTTGTCAGACCTCCATTACAAATTTTGAAGCTCGGGCCAGGGAGATGGCTCAGTAGAATAAGCACTTCCCTGGCAAGTGCAAGGGCCTGAGTTCAATCCCTGGTTCCACCAAAAAAAAAAAAAAAAAAAAAAAAAATTGAAGCTCCCTCTACAAATCTGGAGAAGAGTCTCTATTTGGGGATCTGGGTGAGAGACTATACATGCAATATTAAAAAAGAAAACTTTAGGCTGGGCATGGTGGTGAATGCTTGCTGCCCCAGCACTTTGGGAGGCTGAGGCAGGAGAACCATGAGTTCAAGTCCCACCCATAAAACTTAGTGAGACTCCATCTCCAAACAAACAAACAAAAAAATTAAAGGCCGGAGAGTTAGCTCAGTGGTAGCACTGCCCGCAGTTCAATCCTCATCCTGGAGAGGTGGAGGGGGAGAGAGCGCGCAGCAACATTAGGGGAGCACGGGTCACGGGCATAATTATAAATTTTTATACAATGAATTTCTCTAACTATAAATTAATTTAATTTATTTTTTTTTCTGTATTTAGTACAGGGTCTGCAGGGTCTCACTACACAGATCGGACTTGTAGTGATCCTCCTGTTTTCAGCCTCCCAAGTGCTGGGATTACAGGTGCGAGCCACCACACCCAGATTGAGTAGCCATCTCAGCGCACCCTGGGGGTGGGGCTGGCACCACACACTGGGGATCGAACCCTGGCCGCCAGGCTCTGCCTAAGCAGTCGCTTTAGTCTGCCGAGCTATTTGGCTGGCCCTTATAAATTAATTTTTGAAAAAAAAATTTTTTTTCAGAACCGGGGTTTGAACTCAGGCCCTTGTGCTTGCCAGGCAAGCGCTTATTCTACTGAGCCATCTCCCTGGCCCCTATAAATAAATTTTAAACTGACACACGGACACAGAGGTGCGGGGTGATTGACAAGCAGGGCAAATCCTGGCTTGGCAGAGTTCAGTCCCACCCCAAACTGTTGTGCTGTTTGCAGCCTCCCAAACATGTAGAACAGGCCCGCAGCAGCACAGCCATTTCCCAGCAAAGGACTCCTGAGGAAGCCGTGCGTTCAGAAGTGAACCGAATGAATCCTCAAAGGGCCAGGGTCCGGGGGTCCAGCGCGTACGGAATGCTCAATCCTCAGCTTAGGGCCTTTGCGCCCACGACCTCTGCGCTTTAGGACTGCACACGAGCACTCTGGCCCAGCTGTGCTGAGGTACGCTTTCAGAGCAGCGGTTAATAAATTACGTACGATGTCAGGGCTTAGCCCAGCACAGTGGCACACGCCTGTCATCCCAGAAACCTGGAAGGCTGAGGAAGGAGGGCTGCAAGTTTGAACCCAGCCTGCACAACATAGGGAGACCCTGTCTCAAAATAAAAAATGGAAAAATGCTTGGAATGTAGCTCAGTGTGAAGGCCTTGGGCTCAACCTCCGGTGCTGCAGTCAGTGAATCAATCAAATGATGAAGAAGCAGCTTTCTGTCCAATCAGTTTGTCCTGCTGTGAGCTCACGGGGCTGTTCTGAGCCCCTTCATGCTGGCTGGGCTGAGCTAGAACGTTCCACAGGTGAGTTGTACTCCGCGCGCTTTCATTTTAACAGTATTTCTGATTTACAGTAAGCGAGCTGGGTGTAGCCCCACTGTAAGTCGGGGGGCACTCCTGTGTAGACACAGGGTTATCAAGGTGAGCGAATTAAAAGGAGGTCGTGGGATTGGTCCTTGGCCCAAATAGGTGGGGCTATGCAGATAGGGGATCTATCTACCAAATAGGTGGGGCTATGCACAGTGGCTGCAGCTGGGACAGAGGCCAGGCGCCCTCCCTGGGCCCAGATCCTCCTTACACCTTGACTTCAGATTTCTTGCTTCCTGGACTGTGAAACAATACATTTCTGTTGTTCCTTTTCTCTTTGACTACAAAGAAATTGAACCCGGGGCTGTGGCACTGCGCTACGTCCTCAGCCCTTTTTATTCTTGTTTTTAATTTTGATACAAGGTCTAGCTAGGTTGCCCAGGTAGGACTCCAACTTGTGACCGTCCTGCCTCAGCCTCCCAGGGTGCTGCAGTGATAAGCAGGGTACCACACTTGGCTTAAGTTCCTGTTGTCCGAAGCCACCCCGTTTGTGGCGCCTCCTGTGATCACCGGGGTCTGGTTTGATGGTGCGGCTGGGCTGGATCTGTCTGGCCAACAGCTATTAGGCCACACTTGTGTTCCCAGACAGCCGCGACAGGTTGAGCACGTACAGACAGCGATGCTGTGGATGGTGATGTTGGCGCCGAAGATTGAAGGGAGCAGAGTCTTGTCCGCCTTCTTCACCTGGATGGTTTCCATGATCTGACCTAGGAGGCAGCAGGGCAGCGTCGTGAGGAGCTGGCACGTGCTCCCAAAGGAGATCCCAGCCCGGAGGGGTGCTGCACACTCGTCATCCCAGTGATGCAAGAGGCTGAGGCAGGACGGCTGCACGTTCAAGCCCAGCCTAGGAATTTAGTGACTTGGTAAGACTCTGCCTCAAAATAAAAGGGGCTGAAGATGCTGCCCTGTGTGATGGCCCTGGGCTCGACCCTTGACACCACCATGACCACCACCAAAAAAATCACAAGCCAAAAAACAAACCAGATCCTGCAGGGTAGAAGTGGAAGGGCCAGGTGCCGGGGCCACAGCACAGTGGCTCCTGGTCCTCCCCTGTGTGGGGTGGGTCTGTGGCCCAGAACCCTGCTCCAGGCTGTCTCCCGCCCACCTGGGGAGGCAGCACCTGGACCCTGGGGGCGGGAGGGGGGAGGGGGGCTGTGCACCTGCGCTGAGGGAGGAGAAGAGACTGTTCTGGCTCCAGAGGATCAGTAGGCCTCTCTGGCCTGGGGGCAGGAGGACCTCGAGTGTCTCGTTGTAGTCAAAGGCCAGCCCCAGACTCCGGTTGAGGGGGTGGTCAGAGTACGCAAACATGCCCTGCGAGCAAAAGCAAATGCGTCCCCAAAGCAGCAAATATGGGGCTGCACAACTGAGGGTCAAAGGACTCCATCATTGGCACTCCCTTAAATAACAGGGGTGGGGAGGATCCTACCCCCAGGGGCCACGGGGCCATGCCTGGGGAGCTCCAGGCCTGAGCAGGCACCCAGTGATGCTGCTCAGACCCCACGGTGGTGGCCAAATGCCCCCAGCCTCAGGGTGTAAAGTGCTGAGGGGAACAGGCCTCCGCTGCAGGCCGCACTGCTTCCTGCTGCCACTGAATGCTCTCCGCTCTCCAAGGGTTTATGCGGGGACACCTGGGCCTACCAATGGTGTTTGGAGGGGGCGGAGCCCAGAGGGGTGGGGCGGAGCCCTGAGGGGTGGGGCGGAGCCCTGAGGGGTGGGGCCTGGGCTTTCATCACTCCTAGAAGGGATTAATGCCTGTCTCCGGGACTGACTGATGCAAGGGGATATGTGGTAGAGTGGGGAGGGGGAGTGTGACCAAGAAAGCAGGTTGTGATCAAGCCAGGCCGCGCGTTCAGCCACCTGCCGTAGTGTGATGGTGCATTTGAGGCCTCACTGGCTGTGGCCATCAGAGTTTGGACTTGTCAGCCTCAAAAGGTCAGAAGCTGAAATAGACCTGTTTTCTTTGCAAAGTACTCGGCCTGAGGTATCCTCTCGCAGCAATACAAAAGGGCCTGCGGCACATCCGAGTAGCTGGACTGAACTTAGGTCAGTTTCCCGGAGTTGGTCACTCCCTGGCCCCATGACCCAGATCCTTTCCTCCAGAACCCCTAGGTGGTGGCTCCTGCATCCACTACAAGCCCCACAGTGTGGTTCCCAGAGCCCTCCCTTGTCTGTTCATGGTGCAGCGCCCCAGGACAAAGCCCCAGTCCTCCCAACTGCACTGTGTACGAACAGAATGAGTCCTGTGGTCAGTGAGGCGGGGTGCTGCAGCCCTGTGTTCCCAGCACGCAGGAGGCTGAAGCAGGATGACCACCAGGGGTTCAAGGTCAAGCCAAGGTACATATGAATTCAAGGTCAGCCTGAACAATGTGGTGAGGTCCTGGCTCAAAAACCAAACTAACTAATGCGAAGGAGAAGTGTTAAACAGTGCTTGATATGAGGGATTTATTAATCTGTTTAGCTGTATTGGTACAGTATAGGTATGCAAAGTGACCAAGTTCATCATAGGGAGCGTGTACCTGCGCCTGGTGTGTCTGGGTTCCTCGTTTTACCCATTCCCCTCCCCTCTCCTCAACCCTCTTCCCCACCTTATCGACTAAGCTTTGTTTCTATTTCATCCTTTTTTGCACATTTTTTTTTCTTTTCCTTTCTACCCCCATCCCACTCCCCTCTCCCTTTGAACAATTACTTCTGTTTCAAAATATCTAATATAAGGGCCGGGGAGATGACTCAGTGGAACAAGTGCTTCCCTGGCAAGTGCAAGGGCCTGAGTTCAATCCCCGGTTCCACCAAAAAAAAAAAAAAAAAAAAGTTAGTTACTCAAAATATCTAATATGCATTTTGGTTCCTACATGTACTTTCAATTCCTCACAGTTGGGAGAACACGAGGGATTTAAAATAGTCTTGTGTACCACCTGTGACGCATGTGCCAACTTTGTTTTGTACCCTTGTACTCATCACAGTGCTTAGCTACTGGCAGATACTAGGGAAATATTGCTCCATTCATAACGAAAGTTCAGCTGAATGGAGGCAGAGAAGAGGAGAAAGTAGGAAACAGATGGATAGACGAATGTTTGGATGGATAGGGGATGGTTGAGTGCATGCATGTTTCATTGGACAGATAATTGGATGGGGGGTAGGTGGTGGGTGGATAGACAGATGCATGGAAGGGTAGTCAAGTGGATGGATGCTAGATGAGTCAGTGGGTGAATAGATGGTTGAATGGTTGAGTGGATGGATGGTTGGATAGACATGTGGATGGTTGACTGGATGGATGGCCAAATGGATAAGCAGAGGATGCCTGATGGGTGGGATGGATGGATGGGTGGTGGCTGGGTGGGTGTCTGAATGGATGGATGGATGGTTGAGTGGATGGATGGATGGATGGATGGATGGACAAATGGATGAATGAACAGAAAGAGAAGTAGATAAGCTGATGGGTAGAAGAGTGGATATGTGGATGGATGGGAGGATGGTTGAATGACTGGAGAGACTGACAGATGGGCAGATGAGTGGACAGATGGATAGATGGATGGAAGGACAGAGGTGTAGATGGATGGATGATTGTATGGATGAGTTGAGCAGAGAGATGAATGGATAGGTGAATGGATAAATAAATGGATAGATTTCAGAAATGAAAAGCTAAATACGTGAGTTTTAACAAAACTCTTGCACTGGCCAAGTGTCTTTAAGCATTCCCTCCTAGTGCAAAGTCACTTACCTTCCTGTTATTAATGACAAGCAGCCCAACCTGTGACAAAGAGTGAAGGAAGAAGATTCCCCCTAAAGTCCCGACTAGTTCAGCCTATAAAATGAAAAAAAAAAAAAAATCACAGTGACTAAATACTACAGAGCTAGCTGGGTGTGGTGGCTCATGCCTGTAATTCCAGCACGCAGGAGGCTGAGGCAGGAGGATCACTGCAAGTTCAAGAGCAGCCTGGGCTACAAAGTGAGCTCAAGGCCAACCTGAGCTGCACAGCGAGACCCTGTCTCACAAAGACAAAAAATAAAAGTGAGTAAATAAATAAATATTCCAGGGCAGTCGGCATAGCTCAGGAATGACCACTCGCCTAGCATTTGTGAGAAACTAGATTCCATCCCCAGGACTGCAAAAAAGTAAAACTAAATAACCAAAAATATAATATTACACTTTATTTAATCAAAGAATAAAAAAATTTTAATAGGAAACAGTGTCAACACCAACTGTGCTGTCTACCTGAATAATAATAATAATAATAATAATATATCTGTTATAATAAACAATATAACGTGTGTTTCTAAATTTAAGTCTAGATTACCTAATGAACTAAGAAGAAAGTCTTTGTCAAGAATCTATTGCCTTGGGCTGGTGAGATGGTTCAGTGGTCTAAAGCACCTGCTTAGCAGAGCACAGGGACCGCGGTTCAATCCCCCAGCATCACATGCCAGCCTGCCCCTGCCCCCAGGTGAGCTGAGCTGGCCACACACACACACACACACACACACACACACACACACACACAATAAAATTTTTTTAAAAAGAATCTATTGCCTAGGACTGGCCATTTAGCTCATTTAGCTCAGCAGATTAGAGCGCTCCAAGCAGTCGCTGTCTCAGCTTGCCGTGGGAGAGGCCGGCACCGCACACCCAGGAGCCCCTGCGCACCCCTAAGCAGGCGCTTCAGTCTGCGGAGCTATCTGGCTGGCCCTTCTTCCAGATGTTGGGAGCAGGCACACAGACCGAAGGGCCACCTCTTGCGTATCTGTGCTACTTGGGGCCCCGCTGTTACAACCTACTCTGACTAGTATGGGCTACTGGGCGTTGGGTAACCTTCCTGTCCCTCTCCCCAGCTCCCTGGCCCCTTCTTCTCTGCCCTCACAACCCCCAGGTGGGTCTTCATCCCAGGGAGGAAATCCACCTCAGGCAAAAGGAGGGAGGGTCTCACTATGGGATCCTCCTACCTCGCCTCTAATGCACCTACATAATTTCATCTTTGTTTTCTTACCTGAATGAACATACCTGTCTTTCATAGGTAAACTTTTTAAAACTGGATCCTCCATTATTTGAGAAATATATATTGGCCTGAGATATCTGCTCTCCACGCAAATATGCAAAAATTGAGTTACTTATCTCCTAGGAAGACAACACACATAAAACAATCTCTTTAAAAGAACATCCCAAATTTTCTGATCAGATTATGGGACTAAAGAGGAAAGTGATCGATGATGTAGAGTGTGCCTAAGGAGAGTCACATGGAGAGAAAACATTCTCTCAGGCTTTCACAGAGAGCACATTGGCCAAGCAATGACCATGACTCATCCACATGGTTGACACTGACAAAGGATCTACAATCTGAGGTACAGCATCTCAGGATAAATCCTGAGGGGATTTGACTGACCTTATCAGATCCAAAAGCTACAATTCTTGTTGCATAGGTCTTGCTTTACCTTGGTCTTAACCATCCAGCAGAAAAGTATAAAAACGAAGTACAAGAAGTAAAGCCATGGGCTGGTGAGATGGCTCAGTGGTCTAAAGCACCTACTTAGAACAAGCTTAGCAAAAACAAAGGGACCGCGGTTCAATCTCCCAGCACCACCACATGCCAGCCTGCCCTGCCCCCTGGTGGGCTGAGCTGACCACACACACACACACACACACACACACACACACACACATAAATAAAAGAAGTAAAGCCATGCTGTTATGTTGAGCTGTAGGGGACTCAGGTCAACAGTTTCTGACATTGGCAGTGAAGCAGAAGACTCAATACTATTATGGACTACTGGACTCTTGTAGAATATTTTGCTGAGTTAACACACCTATAGTATTCAAATGACGGAACTAAACAAAAAAGGGGATATATAAATTAATGTCCATTTTGTATCTGTGTATTCAAAATAGTTAGGATAGATATATAGTTACATTCTCTTAATGAATAGAGGGATTTATTGTAATAGTGTTTGTAAATAGGATATCATGTCCGCATCTTGTACAGCAATTAACCACTAGGAAGAGAGTATGCAATGTGTTAATTATTGAAACTGTCCTACCATTTTGATTTGAAACTGTTTCATTGCTATTTGTCTGTCAATAAAATTATGGAAAAAAAAGAAAAGAAAAGAACAGAGCCAGGCAAAACGGTGCCTATACAGAATCTCAGCACTTGAGAGGCTGAGGCAAGCGGATCGTTGTGAGTTTGAGACCAGTCTGGGCTACAAAGTGAGCTCAAGGCCAGCATGAACTGCATAGTAAGGCTGATATAAAAAGACAAAATAATAAGAGGAGGAAGAGGAGGAGGAGGAGGAGGAGGAGGAAGAGGGAGAAGAGGAGAAGGAGAAATGAGCTGGGTGCTGTGTTGCATAGTTTTTTTCTTAAAAAAAAAAGAGAGAGCTGGCTAAAGCACCTGTTTTGGCAGAGCACAGTGGCCAGGTTCAATCCCCAGCTTAACATGCTGGCCCTGGCCCCACTCCTGGGGTGCACTGAGATGGCAGCGATTGAGACTGGGCATGTGGTACACACCTGTAATCCCAGCTGGTGGGAGCTGAAAACAGAAGAATCAGTACAAGTCTGATCTGTGTAGTGAGACCTTATAGATCCTGTCTTAAATAAAGAGAGAGAGAGAGAGAGAGAGAGACAGACAGACAGACAGACAGACAGACAGGAGCGAGCACAGGATGTGAAGGTACATACCTGTCATCCCACCTCCCAGGAGGCTGAGGCAGGAGGATGTCATGAGTTTGGTGTTACCCTGGACTACATAGGGAGTTCAAGCCCAGCCTGAACTACATTGGAGAGCTTGTCTCAAGAAACAGAGAAAAGCCACGTGTGGTGCTGCACATTTGTAATCCCACCACTTGAGAGGCTGAGGTAGGAGGACTGCCTCGAGTCCAGGGCCAGCCAGGACTATAATCTGAGACCCGGCTCAAAACACCAAAAGTAATACAAAAAGAAACTGAAAGAGACAGAGAGATAGAGGGGAGACCCCACAGATCTTAGACATTTATCTCAGAAAAATAAAAATTTATGTCCAAAGGTAAATGAATATATGAATGGCCCTACAGAATTTGACTCTTTCTTTCTTTCTTTCTTTCTTTCTTTCTTTCTTTCTTTCTTTCTTTCTTTCTTTCTTTCTTTCTTTCTTTCTTATTGTTTTCTTCTCCTAGAACCAGGATCCCTGTCTCTGGCCCAGGCAGGAGCACAGGGCTGTGCACACGTGTGATCGCCCTCTGAGGCAGGAGAGCAGGGCCGGCAGGGCTGGCTGGACAACAGGATGCAACCTGTCACTTACAGAGAACCACAACAGCCTCTGGCAAAGGGGCCGCGGCCTGTCCATCACACAAAACTGTCCAATCACTACCAGGATTCATGGGCCAAAGGACTTCTGATGGAACGAGTCAGAGAAGATATAAAAGACAGCCAAGGCCAGGCATGGTGGTGCCCACCTATAACCCCCACACTCGGGAGGCTGAGGCAGGAGGGTCGCTGCAAGTTCCAGATCAGCCTGGGCTACAAAGCCGGCTCTAGGCTGAACTGCACAGCGAGACCCTGCTCAAAAAAAAAAAAAAAAAGACAGACTCTGACTTCAGGTCCACCGCTGTCTTCCTCTTCTGGGGTGGCCCACCCTGTATGCAGGAGTTGTCTTCAATTTTCTAACTTGTACATCTCTTTTTCTTCACATTTTCCTTTTTCTTCTGTTCAAACAAATACTGTGTTTCTGTGACACCATCCTGCCTGGCAACACCTCTACAGGAAGGTGTGGTTTTTTGGTACTAGAGGTGGACTCTAGGGCCCTGCCTGCAGTGAGCACGTGGCCTACCACCCCTGCAGTCCAGAGTTCTGGCCTGCTCTGCTTCCCGCCCGCCCCAGCAGGTCTGCCTCTCCTCAGGCAGCCTGCAGCCCTTCCCTCCTAGGAGGTCAGCACACGTATGCTAAATTGACCACAGACCACAGCCAGCATAACACACCACATCTCCAAGCTCCTGGGCTCAGTCCTCCTGCACCAGCCTCCTGAGTAGCTCAGCCACGCAGCACCAGCCCCGGGTTTGTCATCTCTTTGCTTTTCCTTTCTGTCTTTTTGAGACAGGGTCTCACTATGCCATTCAGGCTGGCTGGCCTTGAGCTTACTTTGTAGCCCACGCTGGTCTCGAACTCACAACCATTCTCCTGCCTCAGGCTCTGGAGTACTGGGGCTACAGCCACCACTGTGGCTGGCATTGCTGTGCTATCTACTGTGAGATCTCCAGGGCCTAGAATTGGATTCCCCAGGGGCTCTGCAATGCGTACACTGAGCGGCCAGCCAGAACCACACTCTATGCATCAGAGTTTCATAAGAACTCTTGGGTATTTGGTAGAAATTTGCTCATAACAGGCAAAAAATAGAAGCAAGCTGGTGGTGGTGACACACATCTATATTCCCAGCTACTCAGGAGGCTGAAGCAGGAGGATCACAAATTCTAGACCAGCCTGGGTAACTTCTTAAGATCTTGTCCCCAAATAAAAAATCAAAAGGACTAGGAGTACAGCCCGGTGAACAGGCCCTGGGCTCAAGCCCCAGTGCCACAGGTGCAAGGAAGAGGAGGAGGGGGAGACAGAGTCCAGTTTGTCGGGCAGGGGATCTAGCGGCGGCTCCCAGTCCCTTCTGTCTCAGGCCTCCTCTGAACCCCAGGGCAGCGACACTGCCAGGCACAACGGCACCAGCCTGTGGGTCCTTCTATTTATTCGCCCTGAGCTGTATTCAGAATTGAGTGAGGAATGAAAGATGCCACTCTGGGCTTACCAGGCAAAAGGAATTTCCAGCAAAACAACAATTGTCACCAGAAACATGGGAAACAGGATGCTGTATGCCTGAAAGGAAAAGAGCATTTAAAAATTACTGGGTCAGCCTGAACTACACAGCAAAGGGGGAGGGGGGGGACACGATGGACACACATGACGAGGAAGACAGACAGACCGAGAGAGACAGAGAGAGAGACAGAGAGAGAGAGACAGAGACAGAGACACAGAGACACAGACAGAGACAGAGAGAGACAGAGACACAGAGACAGAGAGACAGAGTCAGAGAGACAGAGACAGAGACAAAGAGAGACACAGAGACAGACAGAGACAGAGAAGAGAGAGAGAGAGAGAGAGAGAGAGAGAGAGAGAGGCAAGCCCAGGGCAAGAGCTGCACGGCACTGCAGCCCAGCTACTCAGGAGGCTGAGGCAGGAGGACTGCTGGAGCTTGGGTTGCCGTGGTGCAGCACACTTGCAATCCCAGCACTCGAGAGGATGGGGCAGGAGGACCTCAAGCTTAACCCCATTAAGAGCAGTTTAGGGACTCAGTGAGACTCTGTCTCAAAATAAAGGAATAAAAAGGAGCTAGAGAGTGTTGACTGGGGACATCGGGCCCACTGAGTGTGTTGTGGGGAGTGTGATATGAGGTGACCACTCTGCGGAACAGCACAGCAGTTCCTAAAAAAACGAGCACAGAATCACTGTGTGATGTGGCCCTCGCACAGGTAGGGTTATACCACAAAGAGTCAAAGCAGGAACTCGAGGAGATTCGTTCGAGTCCGTGTCTGTGGCAGCACCGAGTGCAGAAGCCAAAATGCTTAACAACTGGGCCCAGGAACAGAGGAACAAATTAACAGGTCACAGCTGTGAGAAGAAGGGCCTGCTGACGCCCCCGCCGCGACGTGGGCAGACCTCGAGGACATCGTGTACAGTCAAATAATGCAGACACGGCACCCACTACAGGTCCAGCTCCCACCAGGGTCCTCAGATCCCGGGACATGAACCAGGGTGGACGGGCGGGGGCGGGAGCGGGACATGGGCTTGGTGACACTGCGCTGGCAGCTTCCTCAAGGCGAGGAGCACGGCCTTTGCCTCCCAGCCGCCCTGCTCCAGGGAAAAGAAGACCCTGCCTGGCTTTTCCCTCCTTCCTTCTGCTCTTGCTTTTGCGATACTGGGCATTGACCCTAGAGCTTCTGCACTGAGCTACCTCCCCAGTCCTTTTTATTCTTCTGAGAGAGGGTCTCATTAAGTCCTCAACTTGCCCAGGTCTGTCTCAAACTTGGGCTCCTGTCTCAGCCACGCAGTGTGCTCAGGTTATGGGCATGCGCACTGTGTCTGCTCACCCCACTTCCTCCAGTACACCTTCACTCCACCCCCCCACCCCCACCCCACCCCCGTCCCCAGAGGGATGCAGCGGGACTGTGTGCTGGTCACCCTCGGCGTAGTCTCTTCAATCTGTCCAAGCAGAGACTTTTTCTCTCTTTCTTTCTTTCTTTCTTTCTTTCTTTCTTTCTTTCTTTCTTTCTTTCTTTCTTTCTTTCTTTCTTTCTCTCTCTCTCTCTCTCTCTCT